TTAAGGCCGGGGGAGGTGGGGCGGGCGGGCCAGCCATGGGGGCAGGCTGGGGGAGTGGGCGGGGGATGGGGCCTGACAGGGGTCCCTCCCATGGTCCCCTGCCCCCTCCTCCAGCCCCCTGCCCCCCATCCCATACTTACCTGCTCCGAGTCTGGCTCCAGCTCCCTGCTGCAGCAGGCAGGGACTGCCCAAGTCATCTAAGCTCTCAAACTCTTTTCCGAAGTTTCAGACAGCTTTGAATCGATTCAGACCTTTTTATTGGTCCCCTGATTCAATTTGGATTTGGAGACTTGGCTACCGAATCGGGCCAAATCTCCTCTGCCCCCCATCCCATACTTACCTGCTCCGAGTCTGGCTCCAGCTCCCTGCTGCAGCAGGCAGGGACTGCCCAAGTCATCTAAGCTCTCAAACTCTTTTCCGAAGTTTCAGACAGCTTTGAATCGATTCAGACCTTTTTATTGGTCCCCTGATTCAATTTGGATTTGGAGACTTGGCTACCGAATCGGGCCAAATCTCCTCCAAATCGAATCAGTACCCGAAGCTTCACACGACCCTAAAGTAGGTAAAACTAAATGAAGGCAGGCAAGCACTCAGGGGGTAAGCTTATTCTCTTTCCTGGGGGCTGCTGTTTCTGTCCCAAAGGACCAGTTAAGGCTATGCCACTGTGCTAAGTGCAGGCCCTGACCTTGCCTTTGTTGTTTCCTGTTTTTAACTAGTGAATAATACTTTATTGCAATGGCTGAGATGAGACCTGCCTGATGTGGAGATGGCATCTCTATGAGGGTCTTATTGAGATGGTAACCTGGGTTGGGTATCTCTCACAATCCACAACAGGCGCTAAATGGTTTTGCTCCTCATTACAGCAGAATGGGTCTAAGCTCATTGCTGGATCCAGTTACAGGGCAGAGCAGTGGAGTGTTATGAAACCAACCCCCCGTCCTGGCCCTGTGGCATATGATGTCAGCAGTGGGGTACACGTATGGGCCAGTTGGCTTGTAACCCTGACACACTTATACTTCCTGTCAGCCAGTTGCTGCATCAACTGATTCTGCCCATCCTAAATTAAGAGAAAAGGACCAGAACAACCAAATGCCAACACACAGCCAAGTAAATCCCCTTTCAGGGCAGCTGGCATTAATTGTTTAACTAGCCAGATCCAGCCAGTATCTCCCTGACTCCCATTTCTCTTCCTTATATCAGTGTACAGTGTCCTGTTGCCCTGGTGGGGCAAGTGGGCAACACATCAGTGACAATACCTGTCCTATGGTTTGAGTGTGCATGCTGCAATCATCTGAACCCACAAACTAAATCCTAAGGGAAGAGGGGGAGGAAACAGCCAACCACCAACCCAGGCAGCTGCTCTGGGGAACTTGCTAGGAAAAGCTTTCAGTTCACGTGGCAGCTGATTGGGAACAGCTGGGCCATAAAATGGATTGGACAGGGACAAGGCTGGCAGAGGGCCTTCATATACTGGGGCAGTGTTAGGGCTGATGAAGAAGGACCCTTTGCTTAGAGGGGCAGGGCTAAGAGGACATTTCTGATCTAATCCATACCAGGTCTTTAGTTAAGTGACTTGCCTGGGAATGGGTTTGGGTTTCTTGCAGGGCATTTCCCCCATAGAGTGTGATTTAGTCCTGGGATGAGGTCAGGATTGAGAAGCATCAACAGAGCTGAGAGAAGCCCAGGACTGGGTAGTAGAGGGGTGCAGTTAGGAGTGAGAGGTGTGGGTAGAGCTGTATGTGAAGCTCAGGGCTGTACTAGCAGGGCCTGCAAGTCAGGATGGGGGTCAGTGGCCATGTGGTCTGGGGCCTACAATTAGGACAGCCTGTGCTGCATCTCAGCACCGAGGGGTGTCAGCCAGGCTGTGCAGGAGGGGCTTGCTGCCCCAACCATGGTCCTCCCCTCATCCCTAGCTAGCCCTGTCCTTCCCTCGCCTCCATGCAGTCTCTTTACTCCAGCTTATCTCCTTCCCTAAAAACTCTCTCCCTGATTCTCCCTGTGACACGGTGTTTCTTTTAACTATGCCTTGAGATCCAAGCAGGCTGCTTTGCCTGGGCACTGTAGGGCCAAGTACTGTCACATGGAGCCTGAAATAATCCATCACATGAGGGGCAGAATAATGAAGTTTACCAGCTTGCACGGCTCCCCAGACCAGTAGGCAGCACAGAGTGTCACTTACAACACTGCCATTCAGGTCCGCTTACAAAACCCAGTAAGGCAGTTATGTAAGTGCAGGAAGGCCAGAGCATGCTGGGGGCAGGGCCAGGAATTACAAACATACAAGAGGAGGAGGTGGTTCTGCAAAAAGCTTTGATTTGGGACCAGCGACCTCTGATCTACACTATGATTAAAGATCTACAGAAAGGTACACAGTCTGCAGCTTAATCTCGGGTCGCTATCAGCAGGAGAGTGCTGGACTTCCTCTCATGCATATGCCCCCCCAGGGTTCCTTGGGATTATGAAAGAAATGAGACCTGTGATGCACAGCTGACAAAGGCCCCAGCAAGGCAGGTAGCTGAATGCTGAGAGAACTGAGGCTGAGTGCATCTGTTGTGATTTCTTGAGAAGGCCCAATGCAGAAACAGAAGCAGTGAAGCTCCCGACCAAAAGAAGGATGGAGCCCTCTGAAGCTTTTTAGGAACAAGCTCATTCTACTACTGCTGCTTCTAGCACCTCCCCTCAACCTCCTTGCTGGTGTCACAGCTCTTCAGCACACAATAAGAGAAGGCAAGGCTGCTCTAAGAATAAGGGCACTCGCTTGACCCTAGGAGATGTGGGTCCAAATCATTCCTCTGCCACAGATGCTGTGTGGGACCTTGGTCAACTCACTTCACCACGCTGAAGCTCAGTCCCCAGCTGTACAAGGCTGATAATTCCTAACAATCACGTGACGCTTTACATCCATAGGTACCAAGGCACCTACAAAATCAACATCACAACTCCCATGTTCAGGGTGGGTAAACTGAGACCAGGAGAGAGGAATCACTCATGTTAGGTTGTCCAAGAGGCTACTAACAGAGCCTGGAATAGAATCCAAGTGTCCTGAGACCTAGTTGGCTGCTCTGTCCATTAAGCTACTATCCTTGGACACTGAGAGGAGGAACTGGCAGGGTTCCAGATAGATCCCAACACAGACAGAAAGGGGAATGTTTGCACCTTGAAGGGGGCTGGTACTACATAGGGCAGTTTGCCTGGAGGTCAGTTGGTTTGGCTTGGCATTGCAGACAGCTGGTTGTCCAAGTTCAACTGTTGAGGCATAGGGGTGTGTGGGCCATCATAACAGCAGCCCCATCCAAATAGCTTGCAACTTATCCTATTTCGTCAGAGTTCACACACAAAGT